ACTAGACTGAATTCTAAGAGCAAACATTCTCATTGTAATGTCTACAATAACTATAATGCTGGTCATAAAATTTTGCTTTATTGATAAAAACCTGTTATTTGACTGTCAATAAATGGGTGTGCAGATGCAAGGGGACATAAATTATTTAAAATTTATACTATCTAGGTAGTTTGCAATGATCGAACAATGACAAATTGAGGTTCAGAGGATATTAACTAAATGACCTTTCATGGTCATTGCATTGTTGAGATTAAAAATTAGGGACTATGGGGATTTAAATTGGTAATAGCTAAGTCCCTGTGTCACTGGGACTCTCCGAATTTTACCCCCATTATCTATCAAAAATAGATAAATAAAAATCCAGGCATGGTGGCATACATTGGAACCCTAGCACCAGTGAGGCAGAGACAGAAGGATCTCTGAGGTTTGTTGGTCAGCCAGTCTAGGTCACTAAAAATTAGGGACTATGGGGATTTAAATTGGTAATAGCTAAGTCCCTGTGTCACTGGGACTCTCCGAATTTTACCCCCATTATCTATCAAAAATAGATAAATAAAAATCCAGGCATGGTGGCATACATTGGAACCCTAGCACCAGGGAGGCAGAGACAGAAGGATCTCTGAGGTTTGTTGGTCAGCCAGTCTAGCTCATAGGTAAGCACTAGGTTCTCTGAGAGACTCTTCTTAAAAGTAAGGTGGAGAGTATTTGAGGACCGCATGCTGACTTCTGACCTCCACATGCACAGAACTTGCACCTGCTTACACATGTGTGTGCTCACACACACACACACACACACACACACACACAAAGACTAAATAATAATCAATAAGAAAAGTTTCAAGATGTCACAGTCTTTTAATTTTTAAAAAAATGTTTAAGTGGGATCAGTGGGTTTGAGAACAGACCTTTCCCATTTTGAGTCTGTTTCCTGTCTTCTTTCTGGGGAGATCTAGAGTTTTTCTTTTTGTGTCAGATACATAATCTCTTCTATTTTTTGGCTATCAAGTATAGTATGTATCTGTTTCTAGCCCTAAAACACATGAGAGGAAGGAATTCATTTCTGGTGGACTGTGAACGCCTCTGAAGTGAAGATAAATGGTAACCTGACTCTTGCCTCACACTAGGTCCCTGGGATAGGGCCAAGTGACAGGAAGAGAGGCCGGGCCGTGTTTCTCTCTCCTCTCCCACTGTCAGCAAGTTGCTGACCCTGAATGTGAACCTCCATCAGCAGATCTCAGAGGTGAACCTTCCTCTCACCAACAATTTGATTTTGTCTGAGCTTCGGGATTTGAAAGTTGCTACTTCAACATGCTCAGCTCACAACAATAACTATTCTAAAGACTGTCATAATCTCACCAATCATTCTGCCTGTTTCTTAGCCTCTTAGCCCTCTGATGTGCACAGATGTTAAGTTTCTCTTTTCTTCTCTAACATGACCACCTTAGAGAATATTCACATTCCTGCACTTAGGACAAACAGATTGCCTTAACTTTTCTGCTTAGTAAGGATAGGGCAGGGCCCTAGGTATGTTGTATGTGTCTTTCTGGTTTGCATATGCAGGCACACCCATTCACAGGGCTTTGTTTCTTTAACCTCAAGTTATGTAATGAGATGATTTGGGAGATCTGGATTCTTTTCCACCAGGACCTGTTTCAAAATCCCTGCTGACTGCTTTCAGTCTCTGCATGTGTGTATAAGATAGATAGGCCCATACACGTTCTTGCCTGAAGCACCAGGCTTGAATTAGGTCATTCAACCTTTGCATTTTTGCCATTTCACAAGCCACTGCTGCGGTAGCAGGTGAAAGTCAGGCAGCCTAAAGTAAAAGCAAGTAGGTTCTTCACCTTGCTTTTCCCACACACAGGCACACAGACACACACACAGACACAGACACACACACACACACATGCACGGATAGGCAGGGAAATGGTGACTCACTCCTCTTGCTGGAAAACAGCAGATAATGACTTCATTTCAAAGCCTGCTTTCCCCACCTTCATATAAACTCTAGAGCTGTATTTAATCTCTGGAAGTATAGGGCATGTTAGGAAGGGTATTAACCTGTCCAGAGCTCTAGGGTACCATTGGGTAACACTGAGGAGTACATAGGCAGTATCCAAGGAACCCTCCCAAAATCTGTGGGAAGTAAACAATAGTTGATGATTCAAAGATTGATCAGTGATAGTACTTAACGCAAGTCACTACCCACTATGTGCCAGGTACATTGCTTACATTTCCTCTAATTCTCTTGTCAGGCCAGCTTATTTTGCAACCTCTGCACAGGCGGGTTAAGGAATTTGTCCAAGGTACCAATGGTAGAGAGCAGCAGCATTGAGATTCAAATCCAAACAAGTCCAGGGTCAAAGTCCATGCACCTTCTACTGTGTGGCACTGCTGCCCCAGAGTGGAAATGCGGTGTGTCACCTGCTCTCCCACTCACCTGCCTAGAACTGCCAGGGGGCACAGACCTGCCTGGACTATCAGTCACAGTGACAAGTTCCCCTCTGTCAGGTACTAGGAGACTGTGTTTTAGCATTTTGACTCCAGTAAAGTCACACGTTTTATTGATGGCAGCTGAAGAAACATCAGCTTGACATATTTCTTTTAGACTTTATTTTCCTGAGGTCTGTTCATTTGCTTCTCTCTTTCTCCCATTGTGGAAAATGCCAAGATAAACTGCCACTACATTCAGTCCCCCACCACTTGCTTCCATCCCCTTCCTCTTTTCTCCTCATTTTCTCTTTCAAAAAGATTTTTCCTTTCTTATTTTTAGTTTTCTTTCTCCTTTCTACTTAAGTCAGTCTGGAACAGTTTTGAATTTTCCATTTAGGTCTCTGATCTATTTTGAGCTAATTTTTATGATGGTTCTACAATCGGCATACATTCTGATTTTCTTTTGTCTCTTTGCATGCTGGTGTCAGGTTTTTCAAACATCATTTTTGAAAAAAAAAAAAAAGTCATTACTGTATTGCAGTTCTTTGTGTCCTTTGGTGGAGATGACTTGATTGTATTTATGTGGAGCTATTTATGGGCTTTCTGTTCCCTTCATTCATTTGTCTAGTCTGTGGCCAATGTGACATTGTTTTTATTACTATGGCTTTATAGAAGGTCTTAAAGTTGTGAAGTTTGTCCTCTAACTAGACTTTTCTTTAGTACTGAGTTGGCTGTTTGAGTTATTTTTCATCTTCCTCGTAAACTTTAAAATCTGTTTACTTATATTCACAAAGATGTTTCATGTGATTTTAATTGGAGCATATTAAATCTATAGATCATACTGTGAGGAAATGAAAATACTAAGTCTTCCTACCCATAAACAGGAAGTCTCTCCATTTATTCATCTTCTTTGATATCATTTATCAAAATTTTGCATGTGTTCTCCTACAAATCCCATACATGTTTGCTAAGTTTATACATAAACATTTCGTTTTTTTTTTTTTGGTGCCAGTGTGAATGACGGCACTGTTTCACATTTAAATTCCTCTTTTTCACTACTGGTGTGCAAGAACACTGTTGACTTTCACATGTTAACATTATGGGCCAAAACCTTGCTATAATTAGTTGTCAATTCCAGGATTTGTTTTGTCAGGTTTTTCAGATTCTCTACATATGTGATAATAGAGATTTCAAGAAATCCTGAAATACAAACCCAAGAAAATTCCAGTCTGAACATGAAGAAGTGAGGAAGAGTCCCCGAGTCAGCCTCAGGATCTTCTGGCAACTGATGACTGCTAGGAGGAGGAGATTCAATCTCTTACAAGAATAGGACTCTTGATGGGTTAGCCAGGCTCCAATAGATGGTACCACTGTGAAGGATATTTAGGGACACAAAGTAGACTTTTCAGGTTTTAATATATATGTTATAATGGGGGGGGCAATAAGAGGAAGTACAAATAGGGAGGGAATCTAAATACCATCAAATTACATTATATGTAAATCACAAAAAGTGAAAATGTTTTTGAAAAAGAAATGGAGTAAACATAGTAATAAAATATTCCTTAATGATAAAAGAAAACATAGACAACGAACAACAAAAAAAGCAAAAACTTAGCATTTATTAAACACACACCATGTGCCAGGAGTTCATTATATCACAGGTTTATTGGTATATTTAAATTACATTAAAACTACAATTTTCTCCTGAGGATGTTGTGGAGTTTGTTCTTTGCATAGAAATTCAGTGTTCAGACAATAGCAAATAAACTTCAAGAAACATAGCTAGTAAGGGGTAGTGCCAGGAATCTAGCCCAGGCAACCTGATTTTAGGATTGCCCTCTAGCTATGATACGACCTTGCTTCTCATCTCCCATCTTTTTTCTCCCCATTCCTCCCCAGGAAGAATCCACCTCAGAATGCTTCATTTTCTCCAAGTTTGTACTTTCGCCTCTGAAAAAAATCTATAAAAGACACAAAGAAGAAATAACATCCTGGAGTTAAGTGGTCATTAATGGCATGTTGAAAAGAAGATAATGAAATATAATCCCAGCTATGAGAAACTGCAGATATGCTAATTAGCTTACTGTGATGATTAGCTCACACGTATCCAATCCTGAAGCAGCGTGTCTTAAGTATGTAGAATTTTTTCAATGATATCTCAATAAAAACTAAAAAGCGTTTCCTGGTATAATGTAATTATTCATTTATTTTGTTTAAAAATATATGATGGGCCGGAGAGATGGCTCAGTGGTTAAGAACACTGGTTGTTCTTGCAGAAGACCCAGGTTCGAATCCCAGCACCCACATGGCAACTAACAACCGTCCATGACTCCAGTCCCAGGGGATCCTACAGCCTCTTCTGACCTCCATGGGCATTGCATGACACAGGTGCACTTACCTACATGCAGACAATACACACATACACATAAAATAAAAATAATTTTAAAAAATGTATGAGAGGGCAGAGGGGAGATTGAAGAGGATGAAAGCACAATGCATGTAAACACTGAAATGCCATAGGAAATCCCACTAATTTGTATAGTTAATATGCATATTAACAATCTTTTCCCGCTCAGACAGCATCCTCTCCCTCTGCTCTCCCAAAGGAGAGAAGAGCAATCATCAATGGCAGATGGCAGTTGCAACAGAAAAGCAACACCAAGAGCCGGCTTTGGGCACGGGAGAGAAAGCTACGTCCCCTTCTCCTGGACTCTGGTACTCTATACAGTCAGAGAAACTTCTCTAGTAATGAACTATGGAAATGATCCCTGAAAGTATAGTGTTCATTATAACAATTACAATGAAATATATTGAGCATCACCTCGGCCAGGCACTGTTGTGAAGATTAAAGCAATAGACACACAGCCCTTCCCTGGGGCTTTGCCTTCTTACAGCTGCTGTCTTTTTCATTTGGCCATGACCTGGTGGAGTCTTTTATATTCTTCATATAAATTTAGGTGATTTATCCAGAATCTATAAAACACATTTTAAATTTTTCTTTCTTTAAGATTCATTTCTTTTTATGTGTATGAGTGTTTGCCTACATGTGTGTTAAGTGCACCATGTGCTTGACTGATGTCAGAGGTCAGGAGAGTGCGCCAAATCCCCTGAAACCTAAGTTACAGATGGTTTTGAGGCAACATGTGGGTGCTGAGAACCAAACCCAGGTTCTCTTCAGAAATAGTAAGTGCTCTTAACTGCGTAACCATCTCTCCAACCCCATATTTTTTGAAGTATTTTTTGATATTTCAATTAATTTTCATGATTTTCATATACATTGAGGATGTTCAGATCCCCTGCCCTATCTGCACCTTCCCTTAACACCCTTGCCCAATTTAATGTACTCTATTAAATAAATAATATATCCTATAAAGTCTCATTTGTGTCCCGAAATGTCCTTCAGTGTGGGTCTATCCACTGGAGCCTGGTTAACCTACCAAGAGTCCCATCCTTGAAAGACATTTTCTCTCCCTCTCCCAGCACCCATGAGTTGCTTAAATTTCCTTAGGATGGGTTGGGATTTCTTACCCACTGCCCCATGTCTATGCTGGGATTTGATCTTGTTTGAGCTTGCAAAGCCCCATATTTTCTTGTGTCCTTCAGTGTGGGTCTATCCACTGGAGCCTGGTTAACCTACCAAGAGTCCCATCCTTGAAAGACATTTTCTCTCCCTCTCCCAGCACCCATGAGTTGCTTAAATTTCCTTAGGATGGGTTGGGATTTCTTACCCACTGCCCCATGTCTATGCTGGGATTTGATCTTGTTTGAGCTTGCAAAGCCCCATATTTTCTTGCTATTTGTTTATTTT